CTACCTAGACCAGAATGCCTGGAACACAGCACGTGATCAATATTGTTTCAATGAATTAATGAGTTATTCAGTGGGGAGTTCAGGATGCAAACAAACATATTTCATAAAATGGTTGACCAAAGTAAGAAATATGCTATGTTTGAGTAACTCATAGTGACAGTCAAGAGAGAGCAGTGTACTTCCAGAAATGTTTGTCAGCTTGTCCAAAGTCATACTAGACCGGAATTTACCACAAACTCCAGCCTACACATGTTCTCAGAATTGATGCTGTCATCTTGTTAGCAGGCCAGGAAGGACCCAATTCTCAGTAGAAGGCCCACATTGGCAAAACTCATGAGGTTGAATTCCAAACTAATAATACAGATTCAGAAATAAAACTGTCACTGATAGCCATTTCTCTACCTTTTCATATGACTGAAGCAGCCAAATTATAATAAAAATTTTGCCTGCCAAGCATGAAACTAGAACATTAATTAAATGTTTAATGTCATCCAGCTAAGAGTTGACTTTTTAAATAAACTGGTATATTTTTAATTACGTGTTTGTGTCCATATTCAAAATAGGACAAAATTTTGTGGATTTTTGTTTTATTTTTTGCTTTGTAATGTTAGTAGCTCTGATTGCCCATGTCTCTTGTAAATATATTAGGTCTGATATTTCCAAGACATAAAACATTTCCTAGAACTGTTTCATGTTTTTTAAAAATAATCCTGTATTTTTATCATCAGTTCAATTATTTGCTAATAATTTATTTTACTATTATTAAATAATTATTGGATTATTTTTCATGTTAGGTACTGGAAATGTGGCTGGCAAATTAGACAAGGGTCTTCATCTTATGTATCTTACAGTGTGGCCTGGAAAGCAAAGTTAACAGGCAACTATAGCACAATATTTTAAGTTTACCCAGAACACTAGAAGGCCATATATGAAGGACACCCAGCTTATTCCTGAGAGATTGGTGAAGTCTTTCCAGACTTGATGAAATGTAAATTAAACTTCAATGAATATAGACTGTATGGATTAGATTAATAAAATTGCTTTATGGAATTAGAATAGGAAGGGAAATGTGTTCTCATCAGGAGCTAAACGTAAGAGATTCAGGAACAGGGCACATGAATGGAACTATACATGTTTCTCTGTGAGTGGAGCTTAAATCGATGTAAACAAATATAGCGGGAAGACATGAATGCTATTGGGAAATTTTAAACAATGAAGAATCATAATAAAATTTGTACTGTAGGAAGATATTATTGACTAGAATGTGGATAATTCACTGGGAGGCTGGAGGAAGAGCCAAGGAAACCCTAAAGTCAAGGTCACCAGTTAGGAGGTTTTTATACTAATTTGTGTGAGAGATAATTCTGGTCTAAATAAAAGTAATTACAGATTGCACAAAAATAAAAAGACAGATGTCAGATATATGAAAGGGGATGTTCTACAAGATTTGATTGTCAACTGTGTGTGAGGTAAGAGGAAAAGGAAGCATCCCTGAGAGTCAATGCCACGTTCCAGTCTGCAGCCCTGAGCGGGCTGTGTCATTAAAGGGGAAATGTATGCCGGGAAGGTTTTGGGTAAAGATGATGAATGCACCACTGATATGACTAATTCAGTGGTCAATTCAATATGCTTTTCACATGTTGGTTGACATGAACTTGGAACTCAAGAAAGAGGCTTGAAATAAGCTCTAAGAATCATCTGCGTATCGATTGAATTTGAGTGTTGAAGTAATTTTTCAGGAAATGAATTTAAAGGAAAGATAAAGAAGGATAAACTGAGAAGGATTTGGGGTTGCAATAGTCAGAGGTGTAACAGGAAACTCTGGAGCTTAGCTGCCGTCGAAGAGAACTGCAGGCGATTTCTCTACCGTGCCTGCTGTTGTAGAGAGATGAAATAACATATGGACTGAAAAAAAAATGTTCACTAACTATAACATTAAGTCAATTTGGCAAAAATGATTTAAGTAAAGTGTTGAATAGAAACCACGTTTTTGTGTGTCGGGAAGTCAATGAGATAGAGGGGATTAAGAGACTAAGTGTAGAAAACGTAATCAAAGAGTTTATATTTGTAGGGAGAAAAGATATGTCAGTAGCTAGAGGAATACTGGAAGTTAAGATTTTAAAAAATGATTTCTTGTAAGAAGATTAAAATATTTTAATAATATCAACATGTAAAACAAACAAACAAAAAAAAACTTTGTTCTTCAGAATTGTTTGTAATGCCTCATTTTGTCTGCGGTTGTTACCCAGATGCATAAAGTACAGTCAGATGTGAGAAAAAAGGAGTTGAGGACAAATCTCAAGAGAGAATATGGGAGAATGGGGAAGATAAAGGAAAGAAGAAGGAGAAGAAGGAAGGAAAGAAAAAAAGAGGAAAACTCTTCCCTTTACATTCATAAAGGAAACCATTTTAGCAAACATCACATTTAGGAGAAACAGAGGGAGTCCAACCTAAACAGACAACACACCAAGAAACAATCAGACAGTAGGAACTAGGAGCCATGGCACCCTCCGGTCCTATGTGGAAGCGGGTTTGAAAAAGGAGGGGTCAGTATTATCAGATGCTGCCAGTGGGAAGTCCAGATGGGACTCATGATATTTCCTTATGCAATAACTTACATAAGGAGAACAGAAAGAGAAACAGGCTATAACTAGAGAGTGAGAGTGAATCTAAAGAAAGATTGCTAAAACTCATTTAAATCCAACTCAAATGCGATTTACTCTGAGAAAGTTTATCTGAAAAATCCATTAGGAACCTATTTCCCTTCCCTCAACATTGCTATAGTGCAGCTACCATACACCCAAGCAATTTCACTTCTTGGAATTTATTCCAAAGAAGTAAAGACTTGTGTACATTTTTTAAAACTATACATAAATGTTTATAGCAGATTTATTTGTAATAACCAAAAAAAACAAAAAAACAAAAAAACAAAAATAACTTCACGTTTCCTTCAACGGTAGAAAGGTTAGACAAATGGTAGTACATTCGTATCATGGAATATAATACAGCAACAAAAAGAAACAAACCATTGATACATGCATCAGCCTGAATAAATCTCCAAAGAATCGTGCTGTGTGGAAAACAGAAACATCTCAAATAACATATACTGTATGATTTAATTTAGGTAACATTCGTGAATTGACAAAATTATAGCAATGGAGACCAGATTAGTGGTTCCCTGAGGTTAAAAGGAGTTACGTGTGGGGAGATGTAAGTGTGATTACAAAAGGGCAACATGAATTATACTCATAATTTTCTGTATCTTGATTATATTAATTAATGTCACTATCTGGCTGTGATATTTCACTGCAGTTGAAAGTTGTTACGTTGGTGAAAACTGGATAAAGAGTACATGGGGTCTCTCTTGTAACTTCCTATGAGTTCATGTAAATCTATAATTTTCTCTAAATAAAAAATTTTAATTTTTAAAAGGCTTAAAAATAACCATAGTGTTAAAAAATAGTTGAAAGAACCCTAGTTTTGAAGTCACATTGCCTTGGGGTTGAACCCAAAGTCTGCCACTTTTTTAGTTATGTAAATGTCATCTTGGTGAGCCTTAAATAAAAATTATCAAGATTACCATCACCATCGCAACCACCATTACTAAAATCCTTACGGAGTTATTAATATGTCCCATTTACTGTTCAAAACGCTTTGTGCATTTTAACGCATTTAATTCTCTCAACAGCCCTATCAGATAGGGATCATTATTATCTTAATTTTAAACATTAAAAAAACTAAGATACAGAAAGAAAAGGTAATAATGCTTAGGGCCGGATCGTAACTAAACGAACATGAATTTGAGCCCGAGCAGTGTCACGTAAGACTTGATACCTGCCCCTAACATTTATGGGGCAAGATCAAAAGTGAAAAAGAGGCCCCATGCTCTATGTGTAACTGTTTAAAATACGTGCATTACAAATATACTTTGTAAGCCACTTGGAAGATGATGTTTGAATTGAAAATGTTCAGACACTTACCAGTCTACTCTATAAACATAACTTACCATCTTTTCCTTTCCACCCATTATTTGGTTCCTGTGAGCAGCTTTTTGCACATTTGAGTACACACTCCAGGCTGCAAATTAAAGCCTTGTTCATACTCAGGCCTAAGGTATGAATACCAGTGAGTCTGTGTGTTTTTGGTTTTGGTCGACGGACATGGAAAAAAGACTGTGCAAATGCTGGAAGCCCAGAGCTTTTAGTCAGGGAATCCCAAGATCCTGAATACCAGAGTCCTGGTGAAGAAGTAGGTAGGATTCGTTCCAACTGTAATGGCGTCTTGACACTGTGAAATCACCCTTCACACTCTGGGAGGGGAATGGATCAAAGAGACACAGAGTCATCGCGGCAGTAAAATTCCCTTTCTGATTTTGCCTGACATGCTGAGGAATGCACCCATGGTAGAGGGCATGAAAAATAAAAACCAAGGCTCAGAGGCTGGCCGGGGAAGAGCTGCTATTCTCAAGGCCCACGTGGCCGCAAGAGGAAGACGACATGGAATGGGAGGTGGGAACATCTTCCAGAAGCCAAGATAATTTTCTCTGTTGAACAGAACTTTGCCCTTTTTTCTTTTAGGTTATCTGAGTTCACTGGGGTGGGTGCTTGTGTATATGTCCTAGGTATTCTTTTGACATTTTTCTCTTTAGATCAGGGGAAATGTTAAGCTAAATAAATCTGGGGTGGGGGGTTGTTAAAAAAAAAAAAAAGACACCAAGTGAGGTCCATTGTAGAGGGTCCCTCTTACGCTTAGGCCTAACGTCAAACTTAAGCCTGAGGGAGACACTGGCCTTATTTCAAGAGGAATAATGCTTGCCTTTTATAGTTGTGAAAACTACGTGAGGTCTCTCATGTACGTTGCGACAGACGTGTGCTACGGTGCTACACTAGAGGGAATACGCAGCTTTTCTGTTAATATTTGCAACTATGCTTTATTGTCAATCGGTCAATGTTTCCAACATTAATATTATTTTATAGTCATATCATTTATTTTCTTGATAGATGGACTGGAGGCTTTCACCAGATTTCTTAAAACTGAATTTAGTGAAGAAAATATTGAATTTTGGATAGCTTGTGAAGATTTCAAGAAAAGCACGGAACCTCAAGAAATTCACCTTAAAGCAAAAGCCATATATGAGAAATTTATACAGACTGATGCTTCACAAGAGGTACAGTAAAGATAACTGTAAAATGCATAACTGCTTTCAAAACTTTTAAGATAATTTTATTTTTAAATATGAGAATTATATTTTCCCAACTTTTTATTTTATGATTGACATTTAATAATTATACATGTTAATGGGATACAGTGTGATGTTTTAATACATGTATGCATTGAATAATGATAAAATCAGACTTAGCATATTCATCAAATTAAAGATTTATCATTTGTGGTGATAACATTCAATATCTTCTTTTCTAGCTATCCTGAAATATTCCGTGTATTATTATTTGCTATGCTCGCCCTACTATGTCATATAACACTAGACCCTATTCTTCCTATCTGTCTGTGTACCTGTCGATCAATCGTTTCCCATTCTCCCATCCTTCCTACCTTACCTAGCCCTTGGTAACCACTATTCTGCTCTCTACTTGTATGTGATCAACTTTATTAGATTCCACATCCAAGTCACATCATGTAGTATTTACCTTTGTGTGCCTGGCTTATTTCACTTAATATAATGTCCTCTGAGTTCATTCATGTTGTCATAGATGACAGAGTTTCATTTTTTTATATCTCAATAATATTCCATATAGACCACATTTTCTTTATACATGTATCCTTTGATAGATATTTAGGTCGATTTCATCTCTTGGATATTGTGAATAGTGCTAGAATAAACAAGAATGTAAATATTTCTTTAACTTGCTGATTTCAATTCCTTTAGATATATACCTGTAAGTAGAATGGCTGGATCATATGGTAGTTTCATTTTCAATTTTTGAGAAGCTCTCATACTATTTTCTATCATGGTTAGACTAATTTACATGCCCACCAACAATGCATGAGTTTCCCTTTCTCCACATCCTCACCAACATTTGTTATTTTTTGTCTTTTTCAATAATAGCCATTCAAACTGCAGTGAGTTGATGTCTCGTTACGGTTTCTACTTGCATATTCCTGATGGGTAGTGGTGTTGAGCATTTTGTCTAAAATGACATTTTATGTCTTTTTTGAAGAAACGTCTATTCAGAGCTAAACTTTTGCGATAATCTGCTTTTATCAAATTTGTACCCCCATATATTCTACCAGAATGTTCATGATGTTGCTTGAGCAAAGATAATTATTAATATAGAGTTAGCCATATAAGTGGAATATATTGTGAGATATTCTCACAGAAGGAAAAGGATGATTAAAGTCACTCCTCAGAGTTATTTTCAATCTAGACTAAAAGTCAATAGAATTAATTGCAACATTTAGATTCATTCACTTCTTCCTATTAATCACTTTAGCACAAGCAACCTCTCATAGAAACTAAAGTTTTCTATAGTGATGAAATCAAGAGAAATCAAGAAGTTTGCATCATGTCACATTTTAATTTTGGCTCATCTATTTATACAGAGTTTTGTTTGCTTCAGGGCTACTTTAAAGACAAGTTTAAAGAAAAAGTTTATAATAGACAGATGAGGTAAACCTAACTAGGCAAGTTTTCAAGTGGAAAACAATTGAGATTTCCTTTCCTCCAAACTCAGTGTGAAGTAATTGTGATACAATTGCTAAAATGGTTATAAGACTAGCTAATATGACTTGGCTGCCCTCAAATATTATTTAAATAGAACTTCTATGTTTCTATTGTATGTTTTATAAGTAGCATTTCTCCAAAAACCAATATTTTACATAGATTTTTTTTCTTAAAAAAGGCAGCTAGTTGTACTGTGTTATGAGCAAGGGGAAAGAAAGCCCTACCTGAAAACCCACCACCATTAGAACCAGATACATATGCAGTGCTATAATCCACAGCATTAAAGAATTTTATGTCTTTAAAAGACATTCATACTGCAGCACATGTCTGCTTGGAAGAAAGCATCATAACATAATGAAATGAGCACCGGAATCAATAGGAGCCTCATATTAAAATCTCAAATATGACCGTTCTCATCCTTTCTCATGACTCAAATAATTTAACCTCTGTGAGGTTCAGTTACCTTATTTGAAAGTAAGTTAAGCTTTAGTTACTTCTATGATCCTTAGCATTGTAATATTCCACTATTCTAAATTAGTGGAGACTAAGAAGGACCAGGAATGCCAGGAGAGATGAGTCCGATGAAATCCTGGTCCAGAATAGAGGAAAATACCCGAACATCCATATTAGGCCATGCTTGCACTGCCATAAACACCAGTGTTCACAACAGCAATGTTCACAATAACCACAATGTGGAAACAACTCAGTCGTCCCAATGGTCCCAAATGAATGGATAAGCAAAACGAAGCATACCCATAGAATGGAATATTCAGCCCCAGAGAGAATAAAGTTTCTGATATATGCTAGTAAAAATAGAAACACCTAAGACCAGGCGGTTTGTAAGGAAAGAACTTTAATTAGCTCAGCATCTGCTTCTGAGAAGATCTCAGGAAGCTTCCAATCATGGCAAACACAGAAAGGGAGCAATTACCTCACATGTCAGGAGGAGGAACGAGAGAGAGAGAGTGAGGTGCCACATACTTTTAAACAGTCGGATCTTGCCAGAAGCCACTCACCATCGCAAGGACAGCACTAAGGGGACGGTGCTAAACCATTCATGAGAAATCCACCCCCATATCCAATAACTTCCCACCAGGTTTCACCTCCAATGCTGGGGGTACAATTCGACAGATTAGGGCGGGGTGTGCACATCCAAATCATATCAGCTCCCAAACCCACTACGCCCACTCCAACACTGCATTAGTCCTGTGCTGTTTCTCAAAGTTGTTTACATAAGCATATTAACTATAATTATACCTTTTTTTTCCTGTTTATCCAGGTTAACCTTGATTTTCACACCAAAGAAGTCATTACAAAGAGCATCACTCAACCCACCCTGCACTGTTTTGATGCTGCACAAAGCAGAGTGTACCAGCTCATGGAACAAGACAGTTATACACGTTTTTTGAAATCTGACATCTATTTAGACTTAATTGAAGGAAGACCTAAGAGACCAACAAATCTTAGGAGACGATCACGCTCATTTACCTGCAATGAATTCCAAGACGTAAAATCAGATGTTGCCATTTGGTTATAAAGAAAATTGATTTTGCTTATTTTTAAGATAAACTTAGACATCTGCTTCTAAGATATAGCATGTTTATGTTAAGAATTGGTCCCATCTTTTAAACTGAGATATATCATGTGAAATGATTTTAAAAATGTAAAAACAAAACTTTTTGCTAACAAAATACATACTAGATCTGCCAATATAGTTGGTAAAATCCTCTACTTGATGTCATTCCTTTCAGAATCAGAAAAAAAGTTATTTCTTAATTAAAAGGCAGTAGACATGGCAGAGTTAATTAAAAGCTAAGCTTTGCAAAGTTGTCAACAGTTCAAACAAAAATCTAGTTTGGATTTTTTACAAAGGAAGCTTAATATATAGTGTACAAATAATACTACTCAGGTAATATTGGGATAGAAAGCATTAATTGAGGTTTTGCATCACTGATCTTAATGCTATATCAGTTCTTTAAACTGTTGTGAATATAAAAACAAAGTGTCTTGCATTTCAAAAATGAACTAAAAAGGTGATTTTTACATTTTCCTTGGTTAATTTATATTTTCTTTTTCTGTGGCAATCTGTTTTCATAGAATTTAATTGTTTCATATACAGAGTTAAGACTTGATACAAACTTGTGATGTCATCAGAAAAATCATGGGCTGATTTTAATAGCCTTGTTCTGGTACCACAAATATGTATCATGTAGCCTTTCCATATAGAATACTCTTCAAAATCATCTAATCTCTTGGTTAAATTATGAAATATTTAATAAGAGGCTTCAGAAACATACCAGGACTCTTTCATAAAATTAATGCCTGACTTCAAAAAGTTTGCACTCTCTGGAGAAGACAACTTGGACAAATACAAAAACAAAATAAATAATTGGAGAAATGAAAGAAGCCAAAAGCACAGAAGCATAAATGCACAGAAAGCGCTGAGTGTCGGCTGAAAAACGGGAAAATGCACCAATTGAGGCTAGATTTGAAATCCTCAGTGTGTAAGCTCCCTGACTGAATGTGGGGTCCTCAGAAGTTTCTATAGCTTCTAAGGACTCTTTCTTTATTCTTATTTAATCCACATTCTTTGTAATATAAAAAGACTCAGGATTTCTACTTTCTAGTGTTCCTGATGGTCTCCACACTCACTAATTCTAATTTGTTCACTTGATATTCTCCAAAGCAACACCTGACTTGTATCCAAGTAAGGAAAAGAGGCAAATAAGTATAAATAATCATGAAAAACTTAAGACTAAAAATTAACATGGGATGTGTGTCTAAAAATTGCGCACAAGATTATAGAAAACCTAGAAATATATGAAAATAATGAAGCCACAGGATATAGAGCATGAATTTTTTTTGACCAGTCAAATGTATGATAACAATATCTTTAAAGTATTGGATGATAAATAAAGTTGGGTTAAATTAGATAATTTGGGGCATTTTTGAAGCCCATAAGCAAGAGTAAATACCTAGGCTGTCAAGTTATGTACATAACAACTCAGTAAATGATTGCAAAGTCAAGTGAAATAAAAAGGAAGCATTATAAAGAAGGCAGTGTAATATTTCAGCAAGGAGTAAAGCCTCTAACATGTGGTACATTTTTATTTAAATTTTATCTCTGCTACCTACCAAGCGTACTATATTGAACTTCAATTGTTATTTGTAATATTGACATAAAATTTTCAGTGTTCTTATGGTGATTAAATTTTGAAATATTTGAAAAGTGCCAAGTATAGTATTAATTGGCTTTAGTGTGTGGATGGATTTTAGAAATTATTCCCTGTATTTAAGTATCACATTTTAATTATAATATAAATTTTTCTAATGTCTTGCTTACAAATCAAAAAATATCTTTGAGAATAATGAGATTTTCTTGACTACAGTATGGGGATGGCTATTGCTCTCATCAAAACTTTTATAATTTCCACCTCATAAAAATTAATATTTTAGCTAAATTAAAATATGGGAACATTTTAAGCTTAATTACTTTTTCTAAAAAAAAAATCTAAAAAAAACCCCCAACATTTTAGTTATGCGCAGTGCAAATCTTTAAGATGAAACAAAAAAGACAAAGCATGAAGATGTATACCCTCCCCACCCCACCCTGTCAGATGCTAAGCCTTGGCTATGGCATTAACTAAATTTTAAAACATTAATTTATTTTCACCGTGCCATACAGACTAGTCTTATATATAATTTCCTTGCTCTTTATCATTTGTCTAAAAAAGAAAAAAAAATACCAACACAAATTTAACCATGTTGGTTCAGCTGTCATCTGAAGTCTTTTCAACAATGAAAAGTTCACACAACATATCAAAACCCATATTCTATAACTTGAGTGAATGAATAAGTATTTATTGAACACTTTTATTTGATGGCTACTGCTAGCTTCTGGGCATTCAAAAGTGAATTTAATAGTAGGAGTGACAGGGAAGCAGAGAGAAGGAAAAACCCTCTTCATGGTACATTCTCAGATAAAGTTTGCATTCTACAATATGCCGCTAAAAGCCATGCTTCAAACTTTTCTTCGTATGTATCCCAAATAGCAAATCTTTCTACAGCCAATGGTGGAGATGATCACTTATCTTTTGAAGCTGGGCATTAAATAGCTAATTTCCTCCTGTATTTAAGGACAATATAAAAGATTCACCAATTTGCATATCTTTGTGCATCTTTAAAAAAAAAAAAAAAGCAGAACTGAAAGCCGACGCACATGTAAGTACATTTTATTATGGGTTTGAGTTTTTTGGCCATTATATTGGTTTTGCCCTATAAACCAACCAATTATAGAAGGGCCCTTTGAAGATGAACACACAACACTTGGAGAAACATTTAAAAACTTCAATCACTTGAGAAAACAATACAAATTTAGCAGCACAGGTAGTAAAATATTACATCTGGAAAATTTTTTAAAAATCATATTGAGCTAAGTTTTTAAGGACATAATTATTTAATAGTAAATATATACATTTACCTGGATTATTACCTACTAATTAAATTTTATAGAGTAGAAATGAACCTTTCAGAAGTAATAAGCTAAGCAACTATTTTAAACATCAGCTATTTGCTAAAAATAACAGTATTAAATTTTAGATCGTTTGTCTACAGTCTTATTATTTTGTATTTTGTTATCTGTAACAAACAGGGAATAATTGTGGGAAAAATGAAGACTAGATCGTTGTTGAATTTTGGTCCACTAAAAAATATCAAAATTCTTTTTATTCTATGCTATTTACTAGAACAAGAAAGTGAATAAGAAACAATTGGAAAGATTGCCATCAACATGTAAAACCCAACTATCATTTTTCCAACTTTGAACTGTTGTTACGTGTAAACAAACAGAAATATTGAAACATGAACCCAAGTGAGATCAAACCAGTATCAATGATAGCAGGAATACATTTATTTAATAACCCATAGTTTGAAATATCTTATACTTCATTTATTCTTATTTAATCATAGAGTCCTATAGTTCAACAAATGTTTGCCCTACTTCACCTGTGCCCCAGTCACCATACGGAAGAGTAGAGATACAAAGACAAAATAATGTAAAGTCTATCACTGTAATATTACAATGAATGGTGTTCCTATGTAGGCAAACACATAAATCAGTCATTTCACTATGACATGTGAAACATTCACATAAAATATATCTTGACTTCCTTATGTCTAAAAAAACAGCAAGTCAATTTCATACAATGTAGGTAAACAGCAGTCATGTCACGGTGTTTTCACAACACATGTGACTATATTTTATAGTATGGGATTAGGTATTCAATTGTTTCATTCACACTGAAATCTGATTTAAAATCTCAATCTCTAGAAATCTGAACTGATCTCATAAACGGCTATCACTTACTTTAGAATGTGAGCTCCCAGAAATATATTCAAGTTATATTAACAGAAAATTATTTAACATAGAGGCTTTGGGAGTAAATTTTTGGTGGAATTGTGGAAGAACGTTGAGAGATACTGATAAACGAATATCAACCAAAAGATCTTAGATGTATGATAACTGAGACAACTAAATAAGTTCATTGGAAAATCGTGATCCAACTCGTGAAGTTCTTTTATTTGTGCTATTCTTAAACACTTCTATTGGAAAATATAATAAACACATTGTCTAAAAAGTTCACATGATCATGAAGGGAACACTAATCTTGCAGTTTGGTCCCATTAAATATTTTTTCTTTAGTAACCAACTCATCATGTATTTTCTTCTGTTGTTTTTTATCTGTTTTATCTTTTCTCCAGGTAGCTATTTTGACAAATAGCAGGAGCACACACATACACAGAGAGAGTTTGATTTTTAAAAGGGAATATATGATTATTATAAGCACTTTTTAGTCTATTGAGGAGAGTGTATTTTCTCTGCTGTGAAATATCAATATTTCTTCCTCATTGAAGAAAGTCTTTAGGGAAGTGTTTGGAGTGATGTAAGAAGATGGCATTTATATCACTCAGAAGACTTACTAGAAAACTGAGATTATAAATAACTGATAATAGTAATTGGAGAGAAGTTAATAAAATAGTAGTTGTAGTGCTTTTAAAAGCCACATAAAAATAAGCATTATTTTGATCACTGAATATTGCGAATTATTGATGGAGTTCACTACAGCAACTACCATTATCTTTCTGAGGAAAATGAGAGAGCATTTCATGACTATTTTTCTCATTTTTTCATACAGAATTTCTGATGCCTTTAGAAACTTAAAAGTATTTTAGATACAAAGTCCCATTTCCTTGAATGGCTGAGTCAGCAAACACATTTCTAGAGATCGTTAATTGTCATAGCATATTATAATATACTAAAGCTAATTTTTCAACAAATGATTGACATATGTCTAAATTATCTTTAACATACCAAAAAAGGTTACATGGGGGAAGTCCTTTCAGTTCAAGGGCATATATATTGGCAATAAAAACAAAGTATATATTCTGGAAAAAAGAATATTACTTTAATATCACACTATGGTTTTTATAAAGGGGTACCTATTGAAGAGTTAACATGATTAATTCTACATATCACTTAAAGATTAATAAAAACAATATGTGAGGAGATTAATTTGAATAAAAAAGACCTCCAATCTTTCATTCCAGATTTAAACATTTTAACATTTATATTCTCTTCTAATCTTTTAAAAATCTACTACAAATTTTTGTCATTGAAATAATGGATTATGAATATGAATATCAATTTTCATAGAATCACAATTATAAAAATCAAGTTTTAAAGACAATATTAATGTTTGAAAAGATAGCTTAATTATAAAAATGTATTGTATGATATCAATATGAACTAGAACTAGAATGAAGTTAAGAATAAAATAAAGCAAAATCTCAAAATTGACAAGTGATGATATGTTTGAGGTAAATCCTAGAGTGTATTAAAAAATTGGATTATAAAACATGTGTAGA